GTGTTTCTGGGGTTTGATGCACTTGCCTCTCAGTAATTTTTTTCTAGCAGGCATGCATTTATGTTGGGCAAGGTCAGGCCACTGGAAATTTTTTCCACACTGACTACAAATATATGATTTCTTCAGCTTGGTACACTTGTCTTTCATTAGTTTTGTTCTAAAGTGAGTCTGTTCATGTCGGGCAAGTTGAGAAGGCCAATGGTAATTCTTTCCACAGTGACCACAAATGTAGGACTTGAGCTTGGTGCCTCTCATTAATTTACTTCTAGAATGTGTGTGTTTATGTTGGGCAAGGTGGGAAGGACAATAGAAATGTTTTCCACCCTGGTCAGAGATATAGGATTTGTTGGGCTTGATGCCCTTGCTTCTCATTAATTTTTTTCTAGAATGAACCTGTTTATGTCGAGTAAGGTCAGAAGGCCACTTGAAGCTTTTTCCACAGTGACCACATGTGTAGGGTTTATTTTTCTCAGTCAACTGGTTTGTCTTCAGATGGGAAGGTTGGTCAAAATCCATGGGCCCAGGTGATAAATCATTTTGATAATCTACCTTTGATGGGCATTGTTTCTTACTAGCTTTTCCAGAATGCACAACTTGATGTCGAGCCAGGGCAGAGGACCATCGGAAGTCCTTCCCACATTCCTTACATATTCTCGGACTTTTGATATCGGAACCTTGGTTTGTTGTGAGATTTGACTGAGGTTTAACTGTTTCAGACGATTCTGTAACTTTACTTTCCATTTGAAATTGACTTAAACTACCTGTTTGTATTTTAAATTGGTCCTGTGTATCTGTTTCCCCTCCCAAGGCAACATGTAGATGATGCTTGGCTAACAAACAATGACACTGGCAATTGTTCCTATCACAGTTACAAGTGTACAGATTCTTAGCAGAGTCCTTTTGTTCTGTAAGGATTTTTGAGTTTTCACTGAATGTTTTGTCTGCTTGCAGAGAAATGGGCACTGAGCTTTTTGGACTGAATGCTCCCAAGTGGAACAGTTCATCTCTATCTGCTTTCAATTCCAAATTATCAAGATGCTGCTGAGCACAAAGACTATGACTGCATCTTCCACATTGGTCATTGTGTTGTTTCCCTGTGTAAGGACTTGTACGCATTGAGTTTAGGTTAGAGGTTTCACAAGAGTCTGCAAACATGTTTCCTCTCACATGGGGGACAAATGACAAGGTACTAGATTTATTTATTTTTGATTGTTTAGTCAATTTCTCCCTAGGAAGTGTATGCCACTTGAGTACAGAGGACTTGCAGAAATCCTTTCCATTCTGATGGCAGAAATACTGCATCTTGGCAGGAGTGTTATGATCTCTTGACTTTTGTTGGAAAGTTTCCCAAGAGGTTGCACACATTCCGTTTTCCTGAAAGGGAATAGGGACAGATGCCAAATGACTTGGATTTCTATCTTCCAAATTAAGCTGGCTTTGTCTATCTGCTTCTCCTCCAAAAAATAGTAGCTGATGTCGGATAAGCTCAGAAAGCCACTGGTATTCCTTTCCACACTGGTCACAGATATGCAGATTTTTGGTCTCAGTTCTCTGGTCTGTTACTTGTATGGCATTTGGACCAACTGCTTCATCAACATATTCTATTATATTCTCTGCCTTAAGAGGAACTGGTACTAATGTGCTTCTATAGCATGCTTCTGATATCAGACTACCTGCTTCTGATTGAAAGCTTTGATGCTGCCAAGCTGAGTTTTCATTTGGAAGCACATTTTTATAATATTGGGAAAGGTGAGATAGGCTTTGGTTATTTTCTCCACATTGGTCACCTATTATTAAACAATTTTTAGTCTGCCTATTCAGGTCTGGCACCAGTGAATTGCATATTTCCAATTGCTCACTCTGCACGGGCATTTTACTTGCACAGAACACATTTTTATGTTGGGCAAATAGAGATGGTTGCTGGAAGTCCTTTTTAGGCCTATCACAAAAGTACAGATTCTTGGTTTGGTTGTGGTGGTAATTAATTGGTTTTGAACTTTGGCTATTTGCTTCCTCATCTTTTACAGAGGTATTCTTATCATGGTGGGGTACTGAAAGATTGGTCACAACTTTGTCTGACTGCCACGGATACTCCCAAACTGCTTCTGTCTTTGCTGAATTCTCCAATGCTACTTTCTCAGCAGTTGTCAGCTGATCAATTGCCAAACCTTCATTATCTGCCAAAATTAAAAACACTAAAAATAATTCCTGGAGACGTTGGGAGCACATTGGGCATAAAACTGACCCCTACATTTTAAACATATTCTTTAATTGTAGGAGAAACAAACAAGTACCTCATTCCTTAAAACTGGAGAATTTGCTTTGGCAAGTAAGCTTGCCAAACTTCATTTATGTGCAACTATAAAAACTTGACATGTTAAAACACTCATCATATAAGATTGTAGTGATTTCATGATTTTGGGAAAATAGAGTTATTTTGGTAATGGAAATGTTGGGACCACTGGCATCTAACAGAATGACAAGGAAATTGGGATAATATCAATCTCAAGCTTTAAATTACACAATCAAGCAAGCCTATGGTATAACTCCTTGGTAAGAACCATTCCAATATGCTTCTCTGTGTGTTTCTTCAAAATTATCCTGTACATAAAAAACAAGGAGATAGGATGCAGCCTGGTTTTTCCCACTCCTTTTGACATTATAGCTTGCCTTAATCTAAACCTGAAAGTTGGATTGTTAGGCAAACACTGTTTTTAAACCAGATTAGAATAGACTGAAGATGGGAAGAAGGAGGAGCCTCCTCGCCGACGGACGGTAGATCGCAACTCTCTGCGGCTATCGTTTGTGCTCTTTCGTCGGAGAGCCCCAATCATCCTGATTAGGGGCTGAAACTGCCTTGGAGGGGCAGCGGAGTAAGAGGAAGCAGCAAGCCTGATTGTGGGGAGCCGCATCTCCCCCCCCCCCCGGCTTGGTTTTTTTTCCTCCCGAAGACGACTGCAGCGATGGTCTAAAATGGCCATCCTGAAGAGGATGACTCAGCTCGACTAAGATTTGTGCAGGAGGGAAGAAAGAGGTAGATAACATCTGAACCGGGATAACTGGGCAATATAACCAAATAAAAGTACCCCGGGATTAAGGTAACATAGAATTTTTAAGAAAAGAAAAGTGAGCGGCGAAATTACAAAGGGAAAGAGAAAAAAAGAAAAATATTTTTGACAGCTAAATGGGGCTTTGAACCGGGAAAGGAAGAAGCTGGAATTAAAGATTTAATGAAATTGGACTAAAATAATTTGGGAATAAACAAGTATAAAACTAAAGCTGGACTTAAGATTGTCAAAGAATAATAATAACAAAGTTTACAAATTGGAGAGTGGATTGTGTTGGAATATTGAGGTTCGAAAAACCTTAAATAAAAATATAGGGGGGAAAAGTGAAGACTTTGTATAATGGAGAGTGTCACCTTTTGATAAAAATTTAGTTCAAATAAAAGGGAAAGCATCTTGTTTTTGAATGAACTGGTGTGGATATAACATTACAGAAATATTGAAACAAAGTAAGAATTTTAGAAAGTGAAAGCAGAACCAGAATAAAGGAAAAAGCAAGGAAGGAAAGATTGTTTGTGGGACTGATTGATGTTTTTGGTATAAACCCTGGACTGGAATAGCTGAGAACTTTAAAAAACTGAAAGAAGAAAGAAGGAAAGTAAAAGTGGTTTCTTTTTGTGGACTTTAACGATCATAAAATATAAGAATGATGATATCTCTTCGGGAATTAAAAATGGAACTTAAAAATATGAGAGAATTACTACAGGAAAGAGGCGAATCACTTTGCTCTGTGCTAGAAAAAATGGAAATGGCGATTGAAGAACAAGAAGAAAGATTCTCAGAGGAGGAGGAATCGACTCAAGGAGAAGACATTTTAAATAGACAATTAACACAAAGAATGCTACAAAGAAGTGGGGAAAGAAGGAAGATTAAAAAGTTGAGTTTCAAGAAAGCAATTAAAAGAGGGAATACCTGTGAAGTCAGAAAAGGCAGGAAGATTCAGCAGAAAAGGGGAAAGGAAGATATTAAGAGAGAAATAAATTGGAATGAGAAAAGTTATGGGGAAAAGAGGGGGAGGAGAAGCAGTAAGAAACAGGCATGTGAAAGAAAGAAACACAGAACTAGTAAAATGTTGAAAGGAAATTGTTTCGTTACAATTAAAAGAGGGAATACCTGTGAAGTCAGAAAAGGCAGGAAGATTCAGCAGAAAAGGGGAAAGGAAGATATTAAGAAAGAGATAAATAGGAATGAGAAAAGACATGGGGAAAAGAGGGGGAGAAGCAGTAAGAAACAGGCATGTGAAAGAAACACAGAACTAGTAAAATGCTGAAAAGAAATTGCTTTTTCAGAGATAATGGTTGATGAATTAAAAAGGGGATTCTGCAGGGTGACAAGGGGTAATAAGAATATCTCTGCAATTAAAAATATTTAGAAAATAGGGTAATATAGATACTGATAACTCTTATTAAAAATCAAGTGGGGGGGAATATGCTGTGGAATCCAATTGAAAATATGTAATGACTAATGGTTTATTGGGAATTAAGATGAGGGAATGAAGGTATATTCTAATCATTAAGGTGTCACACTCAAAATAGTAAAAGAGGGGAAACTTATATTTGTTCTTTTTTCTTTTTGTGTGGGTGTGTTAAGATTAATTTAGAATTCATAAAAAAATGTGTAATGGAAAGGGAATATGACAGACTAAAGAACCAGCTAAATTAATAAGTTTAATATAGATTATTAAAAGCAAGGCGAGACATTGGTAACTTCATTATTACCACTATTAGGCAAATATATATTATTTTTATTTTTAAAATAAATATTAAGGATTATATTTGAAATAATTGAAATGAAATAAAAAGATGTTTAGATTGAGATTAATGAAAGAATTTAGAATTAAACTTTATTATTATTTATTAGGCAAACACATATTGTTTATCTTTATGTTTAAAAACAAATATTAAAGGATTATATTTGAAATAATTGAAATGAAACAAAATTGATTGAGATTAATGAAAGAGGCTAGAATTAATGTGTTTGTTTCTCACCTTACTGAAAATTTGGAATGGAAAAGGTAATAATAGAATTAAGTATGCATATATCAATGTATAATTTCTGTCATATTTGTATGTAAAGATGATGACCCAGAAATATGTTGTCCACTAAAGAGATTTTTGTTTTTAATGTGAAAAACTGAATAAAGTCTGTTATAAAAAAAAAATAGACTGAAGATAATAAAACCATATTTTAATAAAGAACTCTCCAAATATGTGCCTAGGTTTTTTAACATTTCAGGCTATAGATATATGTTTAGTATTAAGAGGAAAAAACAGTCTTAAGAAGGTGTAATTGGTCTTATTGCACTGTTTTGGAGGCACCAAGGCGATTCTGAGTGGAAAGGATTATCCAGTGACATCACTGCTGCGGGGGGATGCCCAAATGGAAATTCCTTTCATAACCCCTTCAGGAACTGGAGTGAAGGACAGGAGTTCACCCCACCCCACAGCAGTACTCGGGTCTCGAACATGAACTTGCTGCTCAACAAGTCAGTGCCCTAACCATGCACAACACCATGGTCCCGGCATAGTTGATAAACACAGATCACTTCTCATCCACTGAAAGTTTTATCTATTTTGTTTGGATATATATCAGCCATTGACTCACCAATAATTTCAGTAATATGAGGCTCCAAGATGCATAATTGACCTTCTCCTGTTAAACAGTTGGCATTAAACTGGAATTCTGAGCATTCTGTAAAGGACAAACAGGTAGATGTTATTATGGCCTGCCTAATAAGAGAGCAGTAGAATTCCCAGCAACCAAATGGTAGAATTCTCAGCAACCAAATCTGCATTCTTTCACAGCCACAGGTGTTACATTATTATTCCTCAAGATCCCAAATTATTTAGTTCCTTGGCTTGTGGAGCATGTCGACTGAATTTATGAACTGCATTAAAACATTATGTGATTGTGCAGTTTTGTCTCAACATAGTATCAAACTCAGCCATTGCTATTTTTAAACCAGAAGAGTGCAATTTGATGCCACAAGGATATATGTGGTTCTCAAAGATCTTGGGTATCAACCATGGAGACTTTCATTGCAATTTTTTAACATTGATAGAGATTACATGATGAAATAGATTCTCCAGATTTTTGGAAAATAGTTACACTTACTATATTTAATCTTATTTAAATTTAAATGCAAATCACTTGAATTCAGATTGAACTTTTGTTCTGGTTTTACCATTTGGAGTTCTCCTTGAAGAAATATCACAACCCCGCCCCCCCCCCACACACACACACAAAAACCCATGTAACCGAAGATGTGAACTGGAAAATTTTCAACTGCAGATAAGCTTGGCAATTTCAAACCTGAATGATAATTTGCTTTTTAGATGATTTGTATAAAAACTTGAAAAGCTAAAATAATATGGCAATTACCTATTATTTTACTGCCTATTGCCCAACTTTAATAAAAGTAATTTTTATCCTGGCATGAAAAATTTCAGTTTCTTTAAATGCAAGGTTGAAGCTTTAAAAGACTAGATGCATTTTTTTCCACAATCAAATAAAGTAGGTTCATTATTTGTGCAATAGATATTGAACACATACTGAAACCAGTATGTGAATTAAAAGCATGCTAATTTCCACAAGAAACCTTTCCAATTCTAAATGTTCTGGAAAACATCTTTTAAGTGTGGCCATCAACATGGGGAAAAATGTCTGAACCCATGGGTTTCTGCTATGTACAATTAACCAATACATATTTATTTACAAATATGAAATATGGAATATGAAATATGAAAAACCAGCCATATTGTAATGGTATTCTACAGATAACCCTCAAATACAGCCATTCGTGTGACCATTTAAAGTTACAATGGCACTGAAAGAGTGACTTATGACTGGTGTTTGCATTTACAACTGTCACAGCCTCTCCAGGGTCACATGACCAAAATTCTTACACTTGGCAATTGGCATGTATTTATGATAATTGCAGAATCCTGGGCTCTCGTGACTGTCATTTGCAACCTTCTAAGATGGCTTCTGGCAAGCAAAGTCAATGAAGAAAGCTGGATTTCCTTAATTACGAGATTCACTTAACAACTGCAATGATTCACTTAACCCTGGCAAGAAGGTCATGAAATTGGGCATGGCTCAATCACTTGCTTTGTTTTCTTTTTTAAAATATATTTATTTTCTCTTATAAACAAAAATAAAATGCAAAACAAAAAAATAGAAAAACACACATCCAACACTAACAACCAAAAAAAAATCTTATGTACAAAAAAAAAGGGGGGGGGAGAACCCCAAATCACAATAAAAAATCCACCCTGGCTGGATAGTGAAAAATAGTAAAAAAAAAAAAAAAAAAAAAAAAAACTGATAGGTTCTCCTCCTCTTACATAATGGGTCTACAAATAATTATCTTCCCATCTTTATTTAACAAAAATATTGTATTCAACAAACAAATATTCCAGATGAGGAAATCTCTTGTCTAATAATCAAATAGACCCAATTTCTAATCATAATACAACCACTTGCTTAATAACAAAAATTTTGGTCCACTTTTTGTCATAAGTTGAGGAATATCTGTATCAGCGATATGAGTACCATTGAAATATAAGATGTCTTTTTTCAGGTAAAGAAAATCACCAAGGGGAAAAGAGGACACCATCCTCCCCAATAGCATTGCTTAATAATCATGATTACAATAATGCTTTTTCCTTTGACCAATAATACCAAGCAAATGAAAAATAAAATTGTTCGAAATATCTGTGTTGAAAGTAGATACTGTTTATATACAATAGTTGTAATAGTAGTTATTCAGTGTTATTGTGTAACTATATTATTCATATATTTAATATATTAATGGAATTGCTCATATATACATGAAAATGATAAGACTTTCCCTAGTTGTCAGTTCTCTTTCGAGACCCATTCAAAATTTCAACAAAGCTGCATGAAGAGTAGCATAATATAGCCCAGAGTTGGGGCAACCAGAGATATCCAAAAAATCAATGATACTTGCAACCTTGCAATCAAAGCTCTGTATTTTATTTGTTTTCTACATGTTAAAAAAAAGCTTTCAGCCCTGTGACCTTTATGACTTTCATCTTGACTTTTTGACACCACCCCACCCCCCACCCCCCGATGATAAGCGCAAGCTCTTTGTGTTCAGCTCATTTCATGTTGAAATGACATATCTAAGCCAATTTTATGGATCCTTTCAGAAGAATGTTTAATCCAGTAACCAGTTTAGGTTTTTTTTCATGGCAGGACCCAGATGAGGTAATACACAGCCATAGACACCCTTAGTGCAGTTAAACATTGGGTTCAAAACATATGTTATTTTCACAGGCTTTTTCATGTAATGCATTTTTACATTGTGTTTAATATTCGTTAATTTACATGTTTCTATTATAAATAATCAGTCATTTTCTAAAGAAATATGAATGCTCTAGTATCAGGTCAGGCACTGTAATGTAGTCTGAGATAACAAGATGCAGTATCTCTGTATGTGTATGCTTTTTATATAAATAAATATCAATGTTTCTGATCCAACCTGAGTCTTGAAAGAACATAGCATTTCTGTTAATTTTACATCCTGTCTTTTGTTCAGGAACTCAAGACAGCGTACAAAGTGTTCCCTCCTCCTTTTTCTCATCACAACCCTCTGAGGTAAACTGTGCCAAGGGCAGACATGACCTTGGCATCTCCTCAGTTCTAAACCAACCCTTTCACACAGTTTCTTTCACTTGGAATCCCAATCAAGCTATATTTTAATATCTTTTGGTAGATTCCTCCTCCTTACCTGTTGCTGCCAAGTTTTCTCTATCCAAGGAATGATTAATCTCAGCCATAGCTTCTTCACCAAATGCTGATTCAAGAGCAGTCATTTCTTTCCCAAAGCCAGGTTACAGGCCAAGCAATCTTAGGTGCACACTGGATACTCACTCCATAAGGATGTTCAGATGTCTGCTTGAGAGATTTCAGGAAAAGTTTAGGAGGGAATATTTAACTATAGGCACATTAATTTCATTCTGTCAACAAAATCCCATTATCTGACCATAATTAAATATTCTATAAAGTCAACAAAGCCAGATTGCTTTTTAAAACTTGATTATGTTATACTTTGCTTGTAAGGATAGAATTGAAGATATTTGCTACTGATTCTACAGCAATCAGACAACCATAGCAGTGTAGAAAAACTCTACTAATCTGCTCTAAATACAGTGTATGTAGACAGAAAGAGAGACAGTCCTTGATGACAAAAGTCACTAGTCATCTTCTTTGATCAAGGAGTTAGGGCAGAGGTCTCCAAACTTGGCAACTTTAAGACTTGTGGACTTCAACTCCCAGAATTCTTGGAGTTGAAGTCCACAACTCTTAAAGTTGCCAAGTTTGGGGACCCCTGAGTTAGGGGATTCCTCATCACCTATAATGGTATTAAATATCTGCTTCTACTTCATTTATCTATAACAGATGCATCTCTTCCACAGCTATGCTGTCAGACCACATGGTTTGCTTAGCCACAGTTTACAGAATAGTTCACAGTTGCTTAAATATAGGCAATTTGCTAATCACAAATAAGCAAAGCAGGCCATGGATTAGCAAACTAGACAATATTGATTGCAGTTGAAACTGTTGGCTGATCCTCATTTTCCACCATAAATTTAAATGGAAAAACGATGTAATGAGTCACTTTTGTTTAATGGCACTTTATACAGCAGTAAAGTCTTGGCTATTTGGAAATAAACTTTAAGTTTAAAAAGGAAGTCAGTTTGGTGTAATAGTTAGGGCATTAGAGAAGAAATGGGGAGACAATGTAAGTTTGAGTTCTGCCTTCAGCACAAAGCCAACTGGGTGACTTTAAACCAGTCTCTTATCAATCCTAGGAAGGAGGCAATGGCAAACCACTTTTGAAAATCTTTGCCCAGGAAAACTGCAGGGACTCATCCAGGCAGTCTTTGAGAATCAAACAAGGTTGCACAGAGAAAAAAAACAATTACAGAGTTTGGTATGAGATATTTTGGGGGTATAGAGTTGCTACACTACAATTCCCAAGATCTCTCTACTGGGCACAATACCTGGGACAATTTATTTCCCACTTCTCATTCAAGAGCTCAAGGACACACACACACACCCCATTTGATTTACCCTGTGAATTTCCTTAGTTGAGGATATAGTTGAACCTGGATCTTACACTGCCACTTTCTATTACTTCAGCCACTACATAGGCATTGCTGTAAGTTACAGTTGTGCTCTAAAGCAGGGGTCGCCAACTTTTTGGACCTCAGGGATCATCAAACTCATAATTTTAAATCCCAGGGACCACTAACCGGTTCTGTGGGCATGGCCTAATTTGTGGGTGTGGTTTGGTGGTCATGTGACTGGCTGGACATGGCTTGTATGTAAATATTATAAATATTTATATAAATATTGAATTTTTTATAAAAAAAGAGCAACTTCTACCCAAAATCAGGCAAAGCAGGCAGGCAAATTGAGTTGCTCACAGAATCACAGATTCATTCAGAGACCCATCTATCTGCCATTGGCTAGCTCAGTCTGTCACATAAAATTTGCTTGCAAGCAAACTCACAAAATTAACTCACAACACACCATGTATGTAAATATTGATTTTTTTATAAAAGAGCAACTTTTCCCCAAAATCAAGCAAAGCAGGCAGGTAGATTGAGTTGCTCACAGAATCATTCAGTGATATATCTCTCTGCCATCAGCTACCAGAGTCTGTCACATAAAATTTTCTTGCCATGAGTCTGCACTGAATAATAGAACCTTCAGTCCTAAGGGAGGTTCGGGAGATCTGAAGACTAGCTAGAAAGCAAGAAATCCAACCATTTCCTGCTTCCTAGCTAATCTAAATCTTCCTGCACAGCAGAACAACTGATGGTCGGAAAAAGGAAAAATAACAATTTAGCAGGCAAGTTTGCCGAGTAAGGAGTGAGTGGGCGGGGCGGGTTCCCATGGGCCATGTGGGCAGCGCAGCCTTGTATTTCTGCACAGCCTGGATTAATTGCTTTGGGGGGGTGCTCTGGGGGTGAGATTTCTCTGCGGCCCACCAAAATTTTCTCGTGGCCCACTGTGACCGCTGCTCTAAAGTACAGATTGCATTTTAAGTTTTCACTTTGTTACCGAAATCATATTAGTATTTTTTAATTTTCCCTCTGTAACACATTAGAATGAAAATGAACTTGAAAATAAAAAGAAAGTAGCCAAATAAATGTGTCCTTAACTGCAGCTCCAGATTTTCTCAATTGTGCTTAAAGTTAGCCCAGTTAATTAACAATAAAGATATTGAAATGGTAAACAATTTGTACTTTTCAGGATCAACCATCAATAACAAAGAACAAGAAATTTCTGCCAAGAATTCCTCTATGAGGAGATGGGTGGTTTTAAAATGTGATAAATAAGCAAATAAAATAAAAAATATTTCTGATAGCACTTGATAAAATAGCCGTGAAGGCCTTGGAAAAGATATTCAAATACCATTATATACATCTATACCTACAGACAGCAAAACAGTGTAGGCAATAGTATTTTCCATGACACTGTATGGAAGCAAAACTAGAAGAAACTAGGGAGCATGTTTATGGAGATTCTCAATCATCCAGGTCAGAGGTCTCCAAACTTGGCAACTTTTAAGACTTATGCACTTCAACTCCTAGAATTCCTCAGCTAGCTGTGCTGGCTGAGGAATTCTGAGAGTTGAAGCCCACAAGTCTTAAAATTGCCAAGTTTGGGGACTCCTGATCCAGATCATGGTTTTGTCCCAAAGGTGCTTTTTAAAGAGGCAATTGGACTTTGTTTTAATTTGAAGACTTTTCGCTTCTCATCCAAGAGAACTGAAGAACTTCTTGGATGACAAGCAAAAGTCTTCAAGATAAAACAAAGGAAGTCCAATTGCCTCTTGAAAAAGTATCTTTGGTACAGACTGGAGTATGAACACTGTTGTTGGAGAAAACTCCTCAGAATACTGCAGACAGCCAAAAAACCAACAAATGGATCAAACAAATCAATCCAAAATTCTTACTTGAGGCATGAATTATCAGTCTCAGATCATCATACTTTGGATAAATTATATGAAGAGCTAGCTATTTGGAGAAGGGTCTAATGGTAGGAAAAGTGGAAGGAAGGAAAGAGGATGATCAACAGCTAAGTGGATGGACTAAGTCAGGGATCTCCAAACTTAGCAACTTCAAGACTAGTGGACTTCAACTCCCAGAATTCCTCAGCCAGCAAAGCTTCCAGGAGTTGAAGTCCACAAGTCTTAAAGTTGCCAAGGTTGGAAACCCCTAGTTACAGCAGAAATGGGTGCCCTATTGGAAGACCTGAAGGATCAGGTAAGGGATAATTGTGGAGAAAACCCATATATATCACTAAGAGTCAAACACTGACTTGATGCAATTTCTTTTTTTTCTTTTTTCTTTTTTTTTCAATTCCTTTTCTATTTAGTGAACCAAATTGGGTGAAATTGGCAAGACAGAATTCCTTAGATGAATAATATATTTTTTTAATGTTTGTCTTGCTGCCTTGCTGATAATGCAAACCATTCAGAAATTTGAAATGTTTGAATTTAAATACTTAAACTATTCAATAATATTTAGATATTTAATATTATCTACTAATCTTTTTCCACAAGGGAAAAAGGGAAGAACTAGGAGTTGGGAAGAGATACTGTAGTTCTACTAAAGTTTTTCCTTAGTATTACATTATTTGAGAAAGAATTATAAGGATCTAGAACAATCTGGGGGAGGAAGAAAGAGGATTCATTAATGTAAACATAAGAAAATAAGTTTTATCAAGAGTATGTTAAAATAAGTTTTAAATAGTTAAACACAAGTCACTCCATACTTAATAGATGGAACCCAAAACTCTTTAACAAAAACTAATTATTCCAGTTTTATCATTTGTAACTACTTGCCATTATGATATCAATCTTTAAAAAGTAAAGGATGTTTGTTTATAATTTACAAGGGTTACTACTGTTTGCAAAATCTTGTGCAGCGGTTTTGCATTTTGCTCTTCGCCGTTTTGCATTTTCAGTTTTGCTTTCTTAAAACTGTTTCTTCTCAGCAGCCTTGGTGCATGCAACTCGAGAGTTGTTACAACTATTCAAAAACAACCATAATGAAAAAGCCACCTTTATATGTATTACACCTTTACATGTAAGCTCGAGAAGACTCCCGCCAAATATTTCGGACTAATTTATGCTAAGTTCTTTTGGTCACCGTTTCATTCCAAATGTCGGCAATGATTTGATCCGAAGCGGAAAAGAGATAAGCACTCCTCCGCCTCCTTAATGGGTCCCTGCCTCTTCCTGGTCTTGCCTGGAACCGGAGCTAGCCCAGGACTGGCAACGGCGCGGCTCTTGGAGGAGACGATGAGTAAGCCCACGCTCCCATCTAAGAACCTCGTGCGCCGGATCCGAGTAGTTGCTTTACCTTTATCCTGAAGAATTTTGTCGTTCCCATCACAAAATCCAAAATGCAAGCTAAAATACATCAGGATCAAGCCAAGAAACATTTCCCTGGGCTTACCTAATTCTCCCTGGATCTTGGCTCCCGAGTTCTCCTCTGGCCACGTGAAGTCCCCTAATTTCACCTAGAAACCAAGGAAGGCGGTAAGACCACCCCTTCCGTCTTCACTTTTTGCAAACCAATTGTTTTCGGATAGTTATATGTGATTGGACGCTTCTAGGGAAGATGCCCGTGTTTTGCATTTATTTCCTTTGCACCAAGTACAACAATCAATTGCCAATTGGATATCCACCGTCCATCCAGCTCTTCCTGGCTAAGATGCTTGTATAAGATGTTCTGAGGCTTTTCTCAATAATTGCCTATTACTGTTGGAAATGTAATTCATCCGGGATACAAAGGGCTTAGATAATACAAGTTTTGCTACTAACAAAACATACTTTTTCCCACCAGGTACTGAGTAAATGAACTCTCAGAACTTTCGTGGATTTATTGGTATAGAAATTTATATCCCACGTTCTCATTAATGCTAACATTACTAGTGCATTCTTATCTATATCCCATTTATTCTGTCATTTTTGTCTTCAAGGAAAGGGGAAAAAAGCATTGATTGGCAGGGTGGCATGAGACATGCTGTTTTGGAAAATAACATGTCAAATCAGATGGAATTTGACTCCTGTTACCTATGAAAAAAGTCCCTCTCCTAAAAGAATGAAACATTTTAGGAAATATTAAAAAGGCAGAATATTATATTTCCCTGGATGAGAAAAGAAGAAACATGTTTTTAGAGACAAAGCAGATCCCTGCCCCTCAGCTTCAGAGTGATGGGATTATTATAATTCCTTGAGTGTCTAATCACACTTGGCCAATAAAGAATTCATTCATTCATTCATTCTGATATGGCCCTCAGGACATGATAGGATTAGCCCTTTACTCATCTAACAGCAGGGCTCACTGTATTGCAAAATCATCTGTGGACACTACATCAGCCCACAATTCAACCAGACTTATCCCAGACAAACTCCTAGGATTTGCACATGATCCCTACAGTAGCCAATAGGACATATGCCCTTGCCACAAGAACAGGACACTCTAGGGCAAGGCCCAAGAATGGGTATAAACATATCTCATTCTCCATGTGTTCTCCTGCACCAGGACTATGAGCTTAATGGTTCTGCTCCATTAAACCATCCTTCCAAGCAGTCTCCATGTTTCCAGTGTCTTTCTTCCCACTGAACCCAGATGGACATTTCTTCCAATACCTATTTCTATCTCAGATGATAAACAATTACTGTGTTATCAGTGAATTATTGACACTGTCCTTACAATGCCTCCTGATGAAATGAGCAGAGAAGAGAGCATTTGCTTGTTTAAAATAGTCAGAACATAGTTAACAGAAGCTAATCTAGTTCACTGAATTAGCAGAGTTCCTTGAATTAGTTGGGAGGAGGGGGGAACACCAAAGATTTTTTTTCTTTTCCTTTTATTTGGTTGAATTAGTAACCCACCTTACTTCCTCCACACCCATACTTCCCTATTGTTTGAGAGAATGTAGAAACTTGAAGAGTTTGAATATGATTATAAGGCTGGCCTAATGACAATAAGATTTACTCAAATTCATGGAATGCACTGTATGATACAATATATGAAGAAACATTCTCTTGAGCAATGCATAAATTGGAGAAAGATATAACGGGAAGAGAGTCCTGCTACAGTATTTTATTGCCTTTAACATATAAAGAACGGTTTCTGGAATTGGGTATGTTTACTTTAATGAAAAGAAGGACTGGGGTGACATGATAGCAGTGTTCCGATATCTCAAGGGCTGCACAAAGAGGGAGTCAAGCTATTCTCCAAAGCAGCTGAAGGCAGGACAAGAAACAATGGGTGGAAACTAATCAGGGAGAGAAGCAACCTAGAACTAAGGAGAAATTCCTGACAGAACAATTTATCAGTGGAACAACTTGCCTCTAGGTGTGAATGCTCCCACACTGGAAGTTTTTAAGAAGATTGAATAACATTTGTCTGAAATGGAATAGGGTTTGCTACCTAAGCAGGGCATTGGGCTAGAAGACCTCCAAATTCCCTTCCAACTCTATTATTCTACTCTATTTTAGATCACAGCAAGCTTTAAGACTTTGTTCCATATTGTTGAAAGAACAAAAATCTACGTAGGTAGAGGTATAGTATTTCTGAGCTCCTTAGAAAATTATTGGCATATATGTAGATACTGACATAAAAACAGTATAGGTAGTCCTTTACTTACAAGTTTGTTTAGTTTACAGCACTGAAATGACTTTACACATGCAGCATCTCCATGGTCAATTCAGTTGCTTGGCAACTGGTTCATATTTGTTATAAGGATGGAACCCTAACATTTATACCTTCATACTTGGCATCCAGAAAGGGAATTACCGTGCTAGCTCTTGGGTAGCTTGAGCCATGCATGACATTTGTATATAATCTTTGTGGTTTAGAAAATGTGCTTTATGACTAGAATTCTAGATGAGAGCTGCAAAAAAAAAAAAAGTCCTGGTGGCGGCAGAATCCTGGTACTCAACTGCTTTGAAACTCATCAAATTTGACACTCAGCATTTTCACAATAACATTTTGTCCCAGTACTTGTTTGTTTGGTACTCAACACGCAAGCTAGAACTTGTTGGTGTTGGTTACCTCGTGACTTGCTATCCTTTCCAGCCAACAGAGTGGATTAGTCACATGGTAGCTCTTACCCTGTGTACATCCCCTTGGCAGTTTTGTGTGGTTATTTTGTGTGTTTTTGTGTTTTTTCCCCTCATCAGTACAGGTAAAGTGAAGTTTTTATTTTAATATAAGTATTCATTTATTTATGGGTTTCTTTCTCATGTAAAGTAATAATATACAACCCTATCTGTTTACATTTTGTCTTAAAATGTGCATTGTCTTTGGTTTGGGAATGCACTACATTTATTTACAGTATTCTTTAAGGGGAAAATTGTTTGGTACTTGTCATTTTTGGTAATTGTACCTCCCAGAACCATTTAATGACGAGCATTGAGGTACCACTGTATATCCCTTTGCTTCATCTAGTTTTTGGCTGGATTTTGGCTGGCCACATGTGGCAACCCTGTTTGTGACTTAGTTCAATGAGATCATTAAAACAACTGTGATTTTTGTCTAAAATATGGTTTAATGTATTAAGTGAGCCAAATAATGAGTTTCTATGGCCAGATTTTCCATCTGTTTTTAATCAGACTTTAAGAATATAATTGAAAACATTGCTTCTAAGCCCACACAGAAAGTAGCATATTGCTATTTAAAGAAATGCATTCTGTGCTTACGGAACCAGAATTGGGAAAGGATTTTTGCTCTGAGATTTCAGATGTTTGATTTTTTTTTTTTTACATGTGGATAATATTGTCCATCCACTTCTTGGCAAGTTTATCATAAAGATTAAGATAATTTAGTAATTCAGCATAAAAATTAAAATCTCCTTTGAGTCAAGCTTCAGCTGGGCTCATGCAATTTTTAGGGCGATGGAAGCAAGCAATTTGTCATTCCTTTTCCAATACTAAATGTTGGTTTCCTCATTTGTCTTAGCCACTCACTTCCATCATGGATGCCTCTGCAAATTTTATGCTTGTCTGTGTGATTTACAGGAAAAAGGTTTAAAAGGGGAGGATAAAAAAAAGAAGAAAGGATCAGCAACTCAAACAGAAAGGAGGCAGCTAAAATAAGTGGAAGTGGAAGTCAGTTATACTATCTTCTTATGTTTATGGTTCTCAGGGAATTCAATTTAAGGAAGGGAAAGGCTTTTTTAAAAAAACACAAAGATTTGAAGAAAATGCAATTCACATCTTGTAGCAAAATCCATGGCTTCTTAAGACATTGTTTAAAAAATGCAGACCGGTACAAACTAATTTTTCAATGTAATTTTTATTTCCAGTTTCAAATTTTCTACAAGAAAACAATAAAAAAATAGAAAACTCTAGAAGTTGTCAAGCACCCTGCCAGGTCACTACAGAAACACAGCTCTGTTGCTGGGTCGCTACGGAGATAAAGATACTGGCATTAGGTAGCTTGCTACGGGAACATGAGAGGCTGAAGCACCTGGATTTAATGAGACAAAAGCGCATCCCAGGTGCTTGAAATCCCTTGGGCCAAGAATGGTTGGTGAAGCCTGCCCTGCCTCTAGGAGATATGGCAGGGTCATGAGGACAGGGCTCCTGGGTTATGAATAATTGGAGAATAGAGAATTTGGACAAGCTCAGCTTCTCCCACCAGATGAATACTATGCTGAGAAAAGCAACAAGTGCAGAAAAGCTCCCCTTAAAAGAAAGAAAGAAAGAAAACTTGCAAGAACTACTACAGGAGTCTTGTCCCCATGAAGCCCAGCAACCCTCCACGTTCTAACACTAGGATCCCCAAGGGGCCAGGTCCTCAGATTGTGGCACCTGAAAGAAGCAGCATCAAGCTCAGAACTGAGGAGAAAACAAGGGGTTGAACTCTAATACACCCCAGTGATAATCACCTCCAAACCCTGTTTGACTAAATAGAACTCCCACAGCAGCCCTTTCAAATATCCAGTGCATGGAGAGGAGACAGGGACACCAGTACCAGCAGCATATCCTTTAAACGTATCTTCTTCATGTTGACAGGTAGTTTCTGCAGGGTATTCATTGGGGTATTTTGCTTTTGCAATTGGGAGCCCCCAGCAAGCAGCTTTCTTGATCGTGCAGAGGATTATAATCTCATTCAGCCGAACTGCAATTTTCCCCATCAACTCAAGGCATGAATTGAATGTCCTTGCCATGCTTTCCCTGGCCCTTTACCAGTGCTCCACTGCAGCTACAGTTTTTACCTTCCAGGATCAGTACTTGGTTGTGTTGCAGTTTTGTCTTTTTTTCCCTCCTGGAGCTCTTGTGCTGTTATTAGCTGGTTGGTAGGTAATCCCTGTATCTTGCTATGTTTGTCTTGCTGCTGTTAAAAATAGAGAGAATTATTTCAAAAAATAGTCGATAACTCTACGTCTTACTCCAAAACCTTTTGCAGATGGCTGCATAACCCTGTCATATGTGAGCTGACCACTCACAAGCTATCTCTGCAAATCTACGCTACACATGTAAACGGTCTGAAACTGCTTTCACTGTCTTGTAGAGCTGCTTTTTCTTGAGACAGACATTGGTCCATCTAGCCTCTTAGTGCCTGTTCTAGGAGGCAGCCTCCAGTCAAGATCACAGGCAGGGACACAGGCCCTCATACATGTTTATTTTGAATATAAAGGAACTATTGAATATGGAACTTGATTGCATGCAAGGCATGTGTTCTACCACTATGCTACGGGCTCTGCAAAGCCCCTGCCTATGAACTTTGGGAAATGTAGCTTTGTATGCATTATTATTGTTAATTATGGTTTTGTCACACAGTCAGCCAGATGTTTAGACTGGATTTGGCATTTTTATCTGCCTATCAAGTCCTTCCCAAAGACCTGGAATTATTATGATCCAATAGATAGAACAGAGCTACAATTTCCAGGTCCCTTGGTTGAGAGTCATCATGACAGCTAAACAGATTCGGAATTGATTTATATATGCAGAGCAGACTCAGGCCTGTACCGGCTCCAGCTGTAATTCCACGAGACCTTGGCCTGTCTTTGAAGCCTCCTGCTGTGGTCCTTTTGGGGCCAGTGGGCCAGACAATTCCTTCTCAGGCTTTGGCTCCTCAGAGTCTTGTGATAGGTTCTCCTCCCATTCTTGCTGATTCAGTGCAGCTTCAGAAGAAAGGCTGGCAATTATTGCTCCCTCAGAACTTGGTTTCCCCTGAGGCATCTTGAGACAGCGAGAGTCTTCCTGATCTTCGGAGGACCAGAAATTGTGTGTCTTGGAAATCTCCCCCTTTGGGTTTGGGGATTCTGGATCTTTCAGCTCAACTATTTCTTCCTCCAACATCACCTGGGCTTTAGGAGCTGTGTGAGAGCAACGACGGGTACGAGTTTTCCTGCTGTGATGGACTTGAAGGTGTAACTCCATAAGCTCAGAAGCTGAGGTGGCAAAGGGGCAAAACTGGCAACGGTGAAGGGCTCCTCCAGCCAGGGCTGGACGTAGAGAAAGATCCAATGGCTGGAAATCAGCCTTCCCGTTTAGCAGTGACTTGCGACGGGATTGGCGGGATCGAGCTGCCCCCACACCACCTAGAGGAAGGAAGGACCCATGACTCTTGGTGAGCTGTGTAGGGGGAAAGGCAGGGACTGCAGTAGGGGCCAGAGGCATGTGGCACTGTTCCATTGTTGCCACAGCTGCAGCAGCTGCAGCAGCATTCTTTTGTTCCCGGTGGTGGCGCTGCAGGTGATATTTGAGCGAGCCAGACTGAGTGCCAGCATAGTCACAGTGAGGGCACTTGTATGGGCGCTCACCTATAGGGAAAAAAGGGGAGAAATTAATTGGCACAGCAATGATGTGTAATTATTTTTCTCTGGGGTATTTTTTTTTCCTGGTTGGTTGCAATATATGGCAAGAGAGTCCATTTAGGTGTCTGACTGATTCACTTTTCTCAGTCCATGAAACAGGATTAAAAATGTTACATTTTTGACCATGAACAAAATCAGCTTTCTGTATTACAGCTTTTGGACAGTGAGTATCTTTTCGGTGATATTTTATGGAAGAGGTCTTGCCATAAACTCTTATGTACAATAAATGAGGAAAAGAAAAAAAAATCCATAGTGTGATGTGTGTATACGTGTGTGTGTGTGTGTGTGTGTGTGTGTGTGTGTGTGTGTGTGTGT